CTGGTTTGTTTATGAGAGTGTCATGTGAGACAGTATCAAAAACTTTACGAAAGTGACTTTGGGAAAGGGGCAGAGTTGGGGTGGTGCCGGGGCGGGGAAGGGAAGGGGGCGGAGTTGGGGTGGGGCCCCTTGGAGTGTCCTCTTTTTGTTAGTTTAAAAAATGGTAATCCTAGAGAAACTATTTCTTGAAATAAACTCATGCAAAAATGTAATGTTTGCAAACATTTTAAACAATAGCATTTCACACAAAAAGGAAACTGAACAGACATTTAAAAAAATATACATAATCTTCACAAAAACAAAAACCACTCTGTTCCAGCATGTTCAATATTGCTAGTTGAGAAATAGCTTTTCTTCCTAAAAAAATTTTCAAAAGAAAGAATATTTTTGTACAAAAACAGCTTTTTTTTAAATACATTTAATACCATAGATCTCAGAGGATCAGGGCCTTGCTGAAAGAATAATTTCGTATGTAAAATTATGTATATAACATCCTACATGTATTTAAATATGCTATAACTTTTTAAAAAATACATTAAAATTCATTTTTTAAATTTGTCCTATTAACAGCACTTTAGATAATTAAAACTGAAATGCAGAAAAATCTATTTGACTTTTCACCACTGGGTCAGGTTTTTGCAGTGTTTTGTTTGGTTTAGTATTTTGCTTTTTCCATTTCCATTCAGCTTGTTACAACAAAAATAGTTGATAAAATCTTGATTTCTAGTCACTTACTTTCTGGTTCTCACACATCTGTAGGATGCAGCAATGTTCAGGTTGCAAGCACCAAAAGGTTTGAATTCAAAACAAAAGACTCTGTTGTGTGTGGTGTTTTGTTTTTGTTTTTGAAATTTCATATAGGTTTTGTCAAACTATTTTCTTTAAAAAAAAAATTAGGGCAGAATTTTATAAGGCACTGAGTCCTATGAAACTAAATACCCTGAACTCTAATTGACTGGAATGGAGGTGAGTAAGCTATGCATTTTGCAAGACGTGTCCCTTCAAATTTGGGCCTCAACTCCCTGACTACAGCCCCTTAAGCAAAACTTTTGAACTCTCACCTACCTATGTAGATACCGAGTCAATATTCTCCATAATATAGTAGCCATAATAAGTATACATACTAAGACCTTTTGATTATAATACAGTCTGGCACACTCTAGAGATATGTCTACACTGCAATTAAAAATCCATGGATGGGCCATGTCATCTGACCCGGGCTTGGGCTGTTTAACTGTAGTGTAGACATTCAGTATAAGGCTGGAGCCTGGGATCTAGGCCTCTGCGAGGTAGGGCTCAGAGCTTGGGCTGCAGCCTGAGTCCAAATATCCACACTGCAATTAAACAGCCGCTTAGCCTGAGTCAGCTGACAAGGGCCAGCCATAGATGTCTAATTGCTGTATAGACTATGGAGATGTGAACTGTAGAATGATCTAATATGTTGTGCTCTAACTGCCCTGTGTAGACCCTGCTGGTGTGCACGGAAAGGTCACTAGTTCACATTTATGTAGTCCCATTTCAAACAGGACTACATTAACACAAACTAAGTACTTTTTAGTTCTCAGCTGCAGGGTTTACACAGGGTAGTTAAAGTGTGACACTTCCAAGCACTCTACAACTCATACCCCAGTAGTTAAATTACAGCACCATGCAGACAAGCCTAGTTTCTGAGATATAATTAATGCTTATGGGAAAGTACCAGGAAGTTTGCATTTCAGCTGCAGAACTATATGTTATTTAACTACTGAGTAGGCTATTCACTTTAAAACTGGTTAATTAAAACTGTTTTTACAGATGCAAAAATGCCAAAAAAAATCTGAAAGGAGGGGGAAAAAAGCATCAATGTTGCAGTTTTCAACAGATAGATAAATCCAGTCACTTCACATTTCTGACATAGTGGTTTGCCACAGTGTGACCTAAAACTACCTTGACCTCATAGAAATCAACATTTTGCACTGAAATGAAACAACAGACATGCTTGTTTTGATGTATGGCTGTGTGACATATTATAAATATTACATCACATAACCACAGAGATTGTCAATCAATAAGATTTTTTTTCAGACAGCACTAAATGAACCATGGGTTCTTGCCTCTGAATGGCTCCTTTAAGGTACTACTTTTGCTTAAATGATTAATAGCAGACATATTGTCAGAAAGTGTACTTAAAGTGAAAAACAGTAAACTGTAGAAATATCATTCATTTTTAAGCAATTCTCTAGTGAAAATGTCACATAAATTTACATAGAGACAGCACTATCAGGCTTTTTGTAAGCTGGGTATTAGGCATACCTTCCACTTCAGGGTGAAAGTGATGGGAAAATATTTTATAAAATCTAGGCCACGTTACTTAGTGGAAACCAAGATGCCATAGCTATGCTGAATTCAAAAGTAGAATTGTTAGAAGTTAACATCTTTAGGCTAAAGATGCACTAAAAACTTTTCTCAAAAGTTGGAAATACTGAATATAGAATGTTCATACTCAAGAGAGCTGTGCTACTGCCAACTCCACAAGCAAAATTTCAACCAACTACAGTATAAGCAATAAGCCACTGCTTCCAATCCATGCACCTTCCAAACAAACCTCCTTTCAGGTCTCCTATCCTTTCTACTGCATGTGTTGAACTATACCTCCTACATAAGTTTTTTGATCGTTTAAAGATACAAAAAGTGTTTTGAATATCTTAGATAACATACTGAAGAAAAAGCTTAGTTTCTCACTTGGGTAGATAGCTTACTGACCATGCTTTTTGCCTCTTGTTTAACTCAAAGAAGGCCATTTTCAGTTAGCTAATGCGGAAAATGGCAGTATCCTTGGTCTGAAATCCAGTATCATATTTGACTGGGGCAAAGAAGCTCAGACAACATCAAATAGATTTTTATTATAATAACGTCTCACTGCCAGAGGGCAGCAGCTATGAAGAATGATGTCACTCAGCAGGCATTCCACAGAGTCTTGGATCTATAGTCAATCACTGTGATCACCAATGACAATTAATCTTTATATTACATTTTGTTCTTCAAAAAATAAACCTATTTGCATATAACTAATTCCCAGCTACATTTCTGTAGGGCTACACTCAAGAGGAGACACTTTACCAGGCTTCCACTTTCAAGTGGTTCTTGTTAATTGCCAAACTTCTGCTAATGAAAACACATTCAAATGTCACATGGATATTTTGCTTATTTTAAGCTCATGGTTTGACTCTACATACTGACTGCTCTGTCTTTGAGCAGAGAAGTGTGATATCTAAAGAGGAGCCTTCTCTGTATTCATAATTGATTTATTTTGAAATATATTGAAAGAAGCAAGTCCTCAAAATTCCTTTTCAGGAAAAAAAGAATGTAGATCTATGATAAGGTAATGATTTTAATCACCAGATTCAGCCACCCTTACTCACACAGTGAGTAGTGCCTGGCTCTGGGCTGGACTAAAGAGAGCACGTAAGCTCACAGTTAAGTTCATCTCTATTCAAGAAAGCACTTAAGAACATGTTTCACTTTAAGCATGTGCCTAACTACCATTGACTTCGGTGGGACTTAAAAAGCACATGCTTATGTGCTTTTCTGAACCAGGGTCCCCCGTCAGTAATTCCACTGAAATCAATGGGGTTATTCAAATACTAAGGCACTACACACTGCAGAATCTGGCCCAAAGGGAGCCATCTTTGTCTAACGAATATAGGAAGGTTTGTTATTTTGGGAACATGCTCTGGTTTTAGTCATCTGACTCCATTCAGCATTAAGAAATGGATGCATCTTATCACATTTGGGAGCAAAGATACTAACCTGTACCTCTGGTAGTCATCCTCATCCTTGTCCTTGCTGACCAGTTCATTTGGGCAAGCCATGTTTCCTAGTAAACTGAGGTATTCCAAGGAGGGCACCACATCAGCCAAGTGATCCAGCAGGCTTTCTAAATCTGTTATGTGTCAAAAATTGTGGGTTAAGGATTCAATGACATTAATGTAAAAAGCATTTATAGTTGCACCACCACTGATTTAAAAATGCATTTCAACAACTGGCAATCAAATTTACTATGACCCTCAGGAAGATGTCACATTAATTGTAACAAAGGCAAATGGGGCTAAATTTAAGTCAGTTTTTCGGCACAGATTGAAAGAACTTGGCTGTTGTGTCATTCTTTTCTCCTTCTCTCTTTTCCATGTGGCTCGCTACAAAACATGAAACCTTTGACAAAATGATGGATACTGTGTGGTAAATGGTTAGCCATTTCTGGAGCCATTAAAGTTTTCCAACATGGAAACAAACAGTTACTTTCATAGCACATTCATCACTAATACATTCAGTCCACTGGAAAATGAATTAAAACAAAAAGGAGTCAAACCACAACAAACCACTTTCACTACAAGAATATAAATGCTTTGAGTGTCACAGCAATGCATTGATAATTATTCTATTAGTATACATGAATAAATGCTTCACTTAAAGCAACTTAAAAACCCCACTGTTACAACATGAGGTATACATCATATACCAAGTGGAAATATACTCTGTAAACATCATCCAAATGGTTGTATAGTTGGGTGTTGATCAGACTTTTCAAATTAAGTGTATTCCTCACTACATAAATATCATCACCTTGGATACCTTAAATTAATATCAAAATGAGATTTAAATATCCACTGCAACATGGGAAATTTAAGTTAGATTTAAGCAGCACAGCACACATCAGATTGAACAAGTGCCAGGCTGTTGATTAAATGAAGAAAAAATATTCATTTTGTTAACAAAAAATATAAAAGTCCTTAAAAGATTATATATAATCTTATCTCTTTCAATTATATACAAGGAAATGGTGATTCTCAGGAAAGAAGCTGCCTGTACATATATATTATTTTTACTTTAAAAATTGACTGGCTTAGATAATAGTGATTATTCTAAAACTATTCAAGAGCAATTCAGTGTTCTCATCCACTCCTGCTACTATAAACCAACTCTTTTTCAAAATAATCCTCAGTTCACTTTTCTTGCTATTATTTATACTTGATTTATGGTTTTGTATGATTTTATTATTTTTAGCTGATGGAATTTATTTTATTTCTTCACCTCAATGTCTTAGGGGCAGCAGCAATAGGCCCCGGAATGTCAAGAATGGCTTCATTGCTAAAAACTCTTCTACTGTTGTAAACTTAATTTCCATTTTACTTCTCATGTGTATAAAAGCTCATGCTGATCATTATCAACTAAGAATTTTTGTATGTTGATAGCCACCAACTCTATATTTCTATTTATGCTCTTTTCCATAAACTCTCATGTATCCTCAAATACTCTGCATAAGAATGGGGAAAGTAGCTACAGAGAGAAAATTAAGTAAAACGATGAGGGTATCACTTTGTATGGAGGATTATGTTAAAACTATCAAGGTAGATTCAGCAACCATTAAAAAAAATGTGGAAAGATTCCAACTGATTTCAGGGAGTAGTGGATCAGGCCCTTAGACAAAGTGCATTATTGTAATATTATTATTATAAAATCTATCTTTTTCTGCTACCCAAGCCTAGCCAGGACATAGTGGTAACTTACTCTGATGACTCTGGACCCCTGATTCACAGATTATCCTTTTGGTGGAGATCATTCATGGCTCTCCCAGTCAGTACATAACTGACAGAAAGAAAGCAAATTTTGCTGAGGTGAAGTACTTTACGCTAGCATTGAAATTAGAGAGTCGTCAGACATTGCCAAGGGAAGCTCACATGATTGTTTCGAATCTGGAAATAACCCTGATCCAGGTGCAATCCTGTTAATCATCTGTAGGACATCTCAAGCTACAGAGATGCTCCCTGGAAGAGGTGCTTTATCACCACAAAAGTTAATTATTTCCATTCTTTTTCCTTAATGGCAATCCCAAGAAGTTTGCTGTTAAAGATCTGACCGTTTATTACAGAAAATTCTTAGTATTGCACAGGTAGAAAAGATCTTCCTTTACAGAGTGAGTGGGCAGAATTTTCTATCATCACTTCATTAGAAGGCTTGTGAAGCAGAAGTTATTTCATTTTTCAATCCTTACAGCTACTTAAAGAATGCTGAATCAGGTTGGGACAGAAGTGTTCACTATAAATACAGGGTCAGCCATGAAGATGTAGGGACCATATTTCCAAAAGTATTTAGGTGCCTAACCGTGCAGATAGGCACCTATAGCAGGATTTACAAAAGTGCCTCAACAGGTTAGTCACCTAACTTCTATTGAAAGTCAACAATAGTGACATGCCAACTTCATTTAGGCACTCTGGTAAATCCCACAAGATCTCCATCTGCACCTTTACGAATCTAAAAATATGGTCCAAAGTATCTAGATTAAATGTGAGCGCCAGACACTGATCTTTACTTTTAGATGAAGAAAAATTTAGGTCCCTACTCAGCAGTGAAGGAGAGCTAATAACCGATGACATCAAGAAAGCTGAGGTGTTTCATGCAAATTTTGCTTCTGTGTTCACTAAAAAAGGTTATCGTCACCAGATACTCACAGATACAATTAACGTTAACAAGGGCGAAGAAACACAGCCCAGAACAGGGAAAGAACAGTTTAAAGAATATTTAGATATGTTAGATGTATTCTAGTCATTGCGGCCTGATGAAATTCATCCCAGTGTACTTATGCAACTACCTGTAGCAATCTTGAAACCATTAGCATTTATTATCAAGAACTCATGGAGGACAGGTGAGATCCCAGAGGACTGGGGAAGGGCAAACATAGTACCTATCTTTAAAAAGGGAGGAGCTGGGGAATTATAAATGTCAGTGTAACTTCTATATTTGGAAAGATACTGGAACAAATTATGTAACAATTCATAAGAACCTAGAAATCTCAGTTGGGGGCTCAAGGTCCTACTATAATATAAATAATAATGAATTATCTTTCATCCAGAAGGATTCCAAACCACTTTTCAAACTCTGGGCCAAACCCTTGAATCTGAACTCCCAGCCAGTGCCTTGCTTGTTACACTGTGAAAGAAAAATTAGAGTTCATTTGCAGCCAGATACCATATCAAAGCCTGCAGAAGAAAATCCACCCTATTCCTTTGCTGCAGTCAACTAAGAGAATGATAGGGTGATAAGTAACAGCCAGCATGGCTTTGACAAGAACAAATGATGCCAAACAAACCTAACTGCCTTTTTTGAGAGAGTTACTGGCCCAGTGGATGGAAGCAGTAGACATGATATCTCGAGTTTAGTAAGGCTTTTGACACAGTATCAGATGACAGTTTCATAAGCAAACTAGGGTAATGTGGTCTAGATTCAATTATTATATAGTGGGTGCACAACTCGTTGAAAGACCACATTCAAAGAGTAGTTATCAATAGTTTGCTGTCAAACTGGGAAAGCGTATCTAGTGGGATCCCACAGAGGTTAGTCCTGGATTCAGTACTATTCAATATTTTCATTAATGACTTAGATAATGGAGTGGAAACTATGATTACAAAATTTGTGGATGACACCAAGCTGGGAGGGGTTGCAAGTACCTTGGAGGACTGGATTAAAATTCAAAACAATCTTGACAAATTAGAGAATTGGTCAGAAATCAACAAGATGAAATTCACTAAAGATAAGTGCAAAGTACTTTAATTTAGAAGGAAAAAATCAAATGCACAACTACAAAATAGGGAATAGCCAGCTAGATAGTGGTACTGCTATAAAGAATTAGGGTTATAGTGGATCAAAACTGAATAGGAGTCAACAATGTGATGCAGCTGCAAAAAAGGCTAATATCATTCTGGGGCATATTAACAAGAGTGTTGTATGTAACACATACAACATAATTGTCACACTCCATTAAGCCCTGCTATGTCCAATTCTGGGCACCCCACTTTTGGAAAGATGTGGATAAATGGGATAGAGTCTAGAGGAGAGCAACAAAAATGATAAAAGATTTAGAAAACCTGACCTATGAGGAAAGGTTAAAAAAAACCTGGGCATGTGTAGTCTTGAGAAAAGATGACTGAGGGTGAACCTGATAACAGTCTTCAAATATGTTATGGTCTGTTATAAAAAGGGCAGTGACAGGCTAGACAAACAGCTGCCAGGTATGGTCTAGGTTTATTTGGTCCTGCCTCAGGACAGGGGGTGGACTTGATGACCTCTCGAGATCTCTTCCAGCCATAACATTTCTATGATTTAGAGATTTTAGTTTTGCATGTAAACTTCTGGGCAAGCATGAAGGGAATCATACCCCAATTCAGTTGATAGCCAGTTTTATGTGAAGTCTCACCACATTCTTTATTGAGACATGCATTATTAGCAGTCTTTAATCTACCCTGTTGCAATGGAATGGATGATGGCATCCTATGGATTTTTTTTTATTTTATTTAAAATAGTAATGTATGTAGCACCACAAATTTTCATGGTGTTTTACAGAAACATGGAGTAAGACACATTCCCTAACCTAAGAAACCCCCCCAAAAAACTATTTATTTACAGAAAAGTGGATTTTTGGACAGTAACAAGCAACATATGCTGGTAGCACTTCAAAAGAAATGTGTGGAAAACGATGGTAAAATTTGAAAGCCAGAATCATTTATGTTAGCAATTGAGACCAAGTCATTACTAAAATGATTATGCCTTAGTTCATTAGTTGAACTTCTGCTCTCTAGGACTGTAACCATCGCACACACACCCATGAAAAATAGCTATGAGCCCATCACATGTACAGATTTCCCCCCCGAACTAGGAGACCCATCCATCTACTGTCACAGATTATTCTTTGCAAAGTATGTTGAAGTCACGTAGGAGCTTTCTCGTGATTGAGTGCTTCCCTGAAATGAATCATAGCTCATGATGCCTCAGTGCACTGTTTCATTAATTGGCATATCATGCGCTCATTATAAAAGATCAACACTAGGCCACCAAAATAATGCATTAAAATATCTATAAGGCTGTGCTGAGAACAGACAAAGTAAGCAGAGTCAGA